CTCTCCCAGGTCATATTACTCAGGCAAGAGTTAATGAGAAGGTGGAGGTAAGAGAACCCATCACCATATCAATCTGCACCACCTCTCGTGTCACCCGCACTTTTTATCTTTTACACGTTAATCACCAGTAATGTGATACAACATCGTCGTATTCCTGCTAGCATTAGATCAATGTCGTTCATGTTGTTCAATGTGGTTTTAAATGGTACACAGTTTTTTTTTTTAAATATAGTAATAGTTATAATAATATATTGTATATAAATCAGAAAAAAAAGGCCGATCTGTGGCTCATCATTAATCACAGGCAGGAGGGTCTTGTTACTCATTGTACTCGGCGGCTCGGAGCAGCTCGATGAGGTCTCGTATCCACCTGTATATTGTGAGAAGGAGGCGTGGAAATATTTCAGATTCCCCTCTATACTCAAGGTGCCCGTCGGATCGATGCTCTAAACGCCGGATGCCTGGCCTCGTCTCATCACTGTACTCCTGCCGACTGACACATCCTCATTATATTACAATACGGTTGCCACTAAAGGTCATTCTCCCCAGAACATAATCACACAATCACAACCACAAACTTCATATATCAAGGAGACAGTAAATAGCCCCGGGGTTTATTTGCTACCGCCAAAGAAATGCTTTCGGTCTATTCCTAAACTGAAGTTGGCACACAAAGCTGGCAAGAAAAATAGATAGATTTGATTGTGCCAACTCACTTTGTTTGCACTTCATCATAAATAATTCTAGATATTCTTACTGCTCCTGTGCTTATAATGTATATTTAGCAGCTGTGTAAAATCTCCTATTTGAATTGGATATTCAGTCTTAAATGTTTTAGCCACCATTTAACATATAGTCATTGAAGGAGGCTGTCTTGTCAAGTTACTAATCTTCCCCTTTCCTCCTCCATCAGGAGCAGGTTGTCATGAAAAGAAGTGTCAAAGCAAAAAAAAAAAAAGAAAAAGAAGAAGAGCGGAAACACACCCCTCTCCTCCATATTACCATAATGAGGAAAACACACTTAGTGGGCCATGACCTGATGTCATCTGATTATACCCATGATTAATGATATCCTTTTCCCAAAACATGCCACTACTGTAACTGTCTGGGACCAAAAGCAGCAGATGGTAATGTATTCATGCTTTCAGTACGTGTTCGTGTATCTGGTGTTAACCAATATGTGCATATTTAAAACTACGCTGTTGTTTTTTTATGTCATTTTCTCCTGGAGACATTTTTTTTAACCCCCTGGTCCACATGGGGCTTTTATGAGCTTGATGTGTCTCTGCGCTTGTTATTAACATTATTTCTCCTGGCTATAAACATCCCGCAACATCCTTTGTAGATTTAGACCACGTATGTTCTTTCATATTAGCCCCAATTTTGGATAAACGTGGACGCCGATATTTTTTCCAATAAAAAGAAAAACACTTTGACGTACACTCCATGTTTGGTCAACAGTGCACAGGGAAATAAAACACTGCGATTGACACTTTCTGCTCCTGCCGGCGTGACGATGATCTCAATAATGGCGCAGTATCCCGCAGAGGGAGAGCAGAGCTTGCGCGGCTTTAAAAACGCCTTGTGTTTTCCAGATACTGAAGTCCAGTCGATGAGTCAGTTGAAAACATTTTCCTCTGTTTTTTCCCCTCTGTCCAGACGCCGTGTCAACAAAGCCCCCTGTGTTGCGCCGATGTAGGAGCCACAATGTCAGTCTGTCCGCTTAATTGCGAGTGGGATGAATGTTAATTTACTCGCTGAAGAACCCTCTTTGTAACACTTTTATAGCCCAGAGGTGTAGATTTGCATCTTAGGGATACAATGAGTTTTGTGGAAAAAAAGGGGTGTGTTGGAGCCCACATTCCTCCACCTCCCACTGCACATTGTTTCATTGTGTGTGTGAACACCTCTCAGAGCAGGGTAGGTGTCGATGGTGTCTGGTGTCTGAACGCGCGCCGTGTGCTTTTCTGTCTCTTCGAGTTTTGTTTTTGATCACCACCGAAATGGATCCACAATGTTATTTTGTAATGGAGGGATTGCATTTTCGTTTGAACAGTTCAGAGGTTTTGTGCGACTCACAGGAGATCTACTGTGCTGGTGCAGAGTGTAGTACTGTGTAATTATAAGAGAGGTGGTCCCGGCCTCGGGGGATTGCTGCTAGATTTCACCGGAAAGGTTCCTGTGCACTACATGAATATGCTCAAGAAATGCGCCCCGCATTTTGTGTATTGGGCTGTCAAAAAATTAAATGAAAAGTCATTCTAATGGGTGACCCCTGGCCTATTTCATATTTCCTGTCAATTATGAAAGTATGAAGTCATGCATAGTTATGAGGCATGGGCGGGCCTATTAAAATTCATAAATGATTTGTGTTTATACCAGGTTACTCTAAACCACTTAATTCCACGTGGTCATGTAGAACTAATGCTGCTCCCCACTGTATACCTTAAGAAGAGACAGGTGCATGGTGTTTCTCCCCAATTTTGTGATTTCCACTTTTACATTGTTCCATTGAATCAAACGACTTTTTTCTCGCTGTAATATCGTCCTCACGATCAGTTGTTTGTTTAAAGCCAGAAGCTGCATTGTAAAAACTCTGCTGCAAGCTGCCGCTGCACGGGGCTAATTGTTTTCTGGTCATTATACCTTCTTCACCATTAAACGCTTTGCGGACCTCTTTGGCTCTCGTGTAACTCAGGTGTGTGTAATTACAATCCTTAAGGTCAGCCTTTCACAAGGATGTATTAGTGAAAAACACTTAAGGGCATGGATCCAAACGCAATTATCTTTGTTAATAGATGTGCTTTTCAATGGAGGAAGAGGATTCAGAAAGCGACTGACACAAAACGTTACTCCTTTGAAAGTTGTCTGCAGCGTCTTCATTATATCTTTATTTTTGATGCGCAAAACATGACTCGCAGCTGTCCTTCCATTACTCCAAATTCCCCACACGTGTTGGTGGATTTAATCCTGAACGCCGGCGTAAACACTCTCGCTTAAAAGTACACAAACACTTGATTTGTTTTTCTTTCACCATGTGGGGCCTTAAGCCAGATATTGATCAGAGCATATCGTGGTCAATCAGACTAAATGATTGCTCCCTCTCCCGCTCGCTGCAAGGCATGAGGTTGGTGGGGGGGGGGGGGGGTCCGCAGGAAACCGAATTATAGCGGCCCAGATATGAGCTGCCTGGCCACTGATAGTTCCCAGCAGCCTGGTGGAAAACTGAGCAATGCAAATGTACAATAAACAGGGCCTAAGCTGGCGGAGGCCTTTCAATCACACGGGGGCAATAGTTCAACCCCCCACCGTGCATAATCCCAGTCTTGAAACCCCTGAGACTCCAGCCTCAGACCTGCTCGATGGCACAAAGATATTAGATAGCCATATGTAGATTCGCTGGGCAAACAGACTCTCGTGATAACGCAATACGCTCTCTTTCCTACGAGGAATATATTTGAAGCTAAATTCTGCTTTCTTCTGGGGAAGGCTCAAATTGAAGGCTTAGCTTTTGCGCCATCTGAATTCGATGCAGCTGTTTGCTTTGTTTAACATCCTTGATATGTCTCTCGCCGAGAAGAAATTGGTATCTCTTCTTTGTGAATTAAGTTGTGCGGGTGTTTGCTCTATAGAGCGGGCCGGCCTGGAGAGTGGCCGGTGGAGGGTCTGTTGGGTGGTGGTGGTGGGAGGGGGGGGGGTTGATGTCTGGCTTTAGCGTCAAAAGTCATTTGATTGCAACTCGTATGGTTTTCTTCACACGCGATACTCAATCGGCCAAAGTTTATCCTCTCCACGATTATTAACATTTAACAATGATTTTTTGGTGTCTGCACCTCGATGTTTCAGCTCATGCGGTTAATCCTGTTTATTCACCCTGTCATTCGCTCACACGCGTATACAGTACACAAATCATTCCTACACAGACCTGTACAAAGACACGCACAAATGCACAGTCTCTCCCTGTCTCTGACACGTGCATTCACCAGAGGAGCCCGTTTGGAGATAAATGACAAGTGCGCACACACACACACACACACACGCATGTACACGCGCGCAGCAGGAAGAGTGTCTGTCTATACATGGGGGAGGGTAAGTAGGGATAGGGGATGGGAGAGAAGGATGCGGTGGAGGGTGATGGGGGAGGTTGGGGGGGGCTGTTGACAATGTTCTCCAGGTCTGTGCAACCCCTCCTCCCTCCCTCCCTCCCTCCCTCCCACTCATGCCAGCGGCTCGGCAGTCCCAGCAGGAGCCACTTCAGCCTAGGGGAGAGGGTCCTTCCGGCCAGCGGGGGCTCCAGATCGGGTGGGGGGTTTGGGGGGGGTTGGGAGGCACAGAGTGAGGCCTACACACGGGCCACTTTAGGCGGCTCGCATCACACGATCCATGTGAAGGGAGGCGACTGATGAGGAGCTGACACCGATCATCCGTCCTGCCTGTCCATTATGTCAGATAGTGTGAAGTGACAGGAGGACAAAGTCTTCAGGACCCGGCGGATCGAGCTCTTTTTGTTTGCAACAAATGTAGCAGAAATAGCCACAGGAGTCTCCGGAAAGGAAATGTCTTAGTTGTTCTGAAATAGCTCCGCTCCACCGGTGATTGCCAGTTTTTCTCACTTCTAATTGCTTTTTTCGAGTTGACTCTTTGAATTTCAAACCTACACCACTGATGTGTCCGAGCAGTATATCTGTATATTTGCTGCTAATGATGCCTCTGAGGAGCATTTTATTTTGTCACAGTTCTGTAATTAAGTGTCTCTCAGTCCTGCTCCTCGGTACCCAGAGTGCCGCTTGTTTTCAATACCACGAGATACTTAATTTCATTCAGCCGGTGTTCCAGGTCTAAATCAGTACCTGATTACACGAGAAACATGAAAACCAGCAGGGCTCTGTATCCGAAAGGACCAGCAATGAGAGCAAACGCTGCTCACAGTAGAAAGCAAAATGCAAATCAGATCATTTAAAAAGTAACCAAGTTTGTTCATTTTGAAAACTTGTCTGTAG